GGAGAGGGTGAGGAGGGTTGGGAAGGGGCTCTGTGATGAGCTTGGCAGGGGCTGGGAAGCAGTGGAAGAAAGAAGGTTAGAGTAGGGACCCTGGAGGTCTCCTGAGAGTTCCCCATGGAAGGGGTCACCTGATCGCCCTGCCCAAACCCAGTGTACCACCAGGCAGGGTCTGCGATTAGGGGCAGCCGGAGGAGAATCCAAGAAAAGACTGGTAATAACAACCTAAATCAGGACCCCTATGTAGGTCCCTGCAGAACCAAAAAGGACAGTTTGGTGTGGCTCCCCAAACTGTAAGCCCTGAGTGGGCAGCAGAAGGGAGTGGATCTCTTTACTGTCTGAAAGAGGGGAGTGGATAGGCCTGGAGGAAGGCAAGTTTGGGTTTGAGAGCAGAAAACACTGAAACTAGGAGAAAGGTGCTGTCTCAGCCATCCTGGCCCCATTTTCCCCCAAACTGGGGGCCCAGGGAGGGAAAACAATAAATGTGGAAGAGGACAGGATGGCAGCCGCTGGTCAGGAGGCGAGTTCGCAGACTGGGAGGAGAGGCCCGGGTAGCTCTTCTCTGAGGCCAGGCTGTGGGTGTGGAGACATTAAAGTAGAGCAGGTTCCAGAGGGACCCAGGATCTGGGAGGTGGCATCCATGTCTGCATGCTCCTTGGGCCGAGCAACCTTCCAGAGCCCACAGAGGTGGAGGGAAAGCAGCCAGGAGAGGGCTTGGCAGGGCCAGGGAGCCCCAGCCAGGATCAGCCACTTTTTTTTTCCTTCCCCAACAACACCACCCTTTGAAACTCACCAGGAATTTTCTCCGACTGTGTGTGGAAGGCTCTTCCGAATTCAGACACACTCTCCTCTCAGGGCTCTTTCCTTGGACCCCTAACCCATTCCTATAAGTGGCCCCTCCATCTTAAAATTCCTTTCTTTCCTGGATAGTTCAAGCCTGATGTGCCTTCTCCTCCATAAATTTCCTCTTCTATCATGCGGCCTGGACCCTGGACAGGAAAGGGACCCCCCAAATCCTTGCCCAACCACCAAAGCCCCAAGTCCGGGGGCCAGAATCCAGACCCCATGGTGGTGAAGCTCTTTGTTTTCCTGCAGCCTTAACCCACCTCCTCTTTTTATAACGGGACTTTCTCCCATAAAAGGGGGGGGGGGGCAGGAGCTTCAGAGCTTCAAGCTCTTTTTTCTCTGGAATATGGAGGAAACAGAAGAAGGAAGAAATCAACTAATGCTTAATTTCCAGAGAAGACAATCTGGGTATTGAATAAGGGGCACACCGCGCTCATTTCTCTCATCCTTCTCCCTAGCCTGCCTGGCACGCAAGCTACACCCACGTGTATGCCTCAGTCCTGCACCCTCTTGCTGCCAATGCCATGAACTGCCACCTCCGGCTCTGTCTTTAATACAGTGGGCCAGGAATCCCACCCATCAGCTTCAGAAAGACACGGGCATCGGCCTCCTCCTTTTCCTGGCATTTTCCTCTGGGATGTCTAAGTAGAAATGAGCATGTAAATTAAGTGCGGGCACAGAGGGATGGCTAGATCCGCAGAGGTCTTTACTGGCGATAGAGGATTTCGGCAGAGGGCTGGGCATCTTTAGAAACACATGTGGGCTGTGCCTACAAGGGCATGTGCGGAACAGTGCATGCACCCTGCACTGTCCCTAACGTCACATACGTCACACACGTCCAGTGAGGAGGCACAAAGAATATCACCTTTGAGAAAAAGAATTTCAGAGTTGAACCTAGCTGGGACTCAGTCCCCAGAGGAAGCTGAGGGCAGAGTGGCTCTGGAGCTCGCCCTTGCAAAGGTCCCTTTGTAAAAAGAGCCCAGAGCAGAGCTCGGCTTTCCGACCGACCAGCGCTGCCGGGCCATTTCCCATCTTCCTGTAGTCTAATGCAGCGCAACTAGAGACCGGGAGCCACACTCCTGTCCATTGGTCTTGATTTCCTGTACACTTCGTCCGTTTTCCAGCGCCGCCGCCGCCGCCCAGTGTGTGCACCCCGGCGGGGGGGGCGGGGGGGGCGGGGGGGGCGGGGGGGGGAGGCGCGGCGAGCGCGAAGCCGAGGGTTGCAGCGCCCGGCTTTCTAGGGCGGGATCGCCTCGGAGGTGTAATTACTACGTTTCCAGTGGTGCATATTCTCCCGGAGTGTTTAATTTGGTTTTATTTGTGTCCCAGCGAGATCCACATTTTTGTCGGGGGAGGAGGGAGAAGCGACCCCGGGCTTAAAGTTAATTAACCAACAAGGCTTTGCTCTCCGCCGCCCGCCCGCCCGCCCGCCCGCCCGCGGGCTCTGGCAACGCCGCCTCCCGCCCGGCTCGGCGCGCCCCGGCCCTGGAGCCGGCAGTTTCAGGCGCGGAAGGTCTTGGGGAACCGAAAGAAGGAGCATGAGGACACTGCACCGGCCGCTTTTAACTCCCTGAGCCCTGGCCGTTCCCCTCCAGCCTTCTCACCTCCACGCGTCTCTTGGAACCTACATCTTCTTAGACTGGCCTTGACGAAGGGGACGTTGGTTCCAGCTTTCTCCTCTTGTCGCTAAATTTTGGCCGCTTAGTGCCCCTAATAAATGGAATTGTAAAATTGCCGGGTTAATGAAATCTATATCTCATTGCAATAGGAATAGTTAATGTCCTTATATAAACCTGGAAAAGAACATACCATTAATTTTATTTATTGCTGGGCAGCCCTGCACCCAGATCCTCCCCGCGGTTCTGCCCCCTACTCCTAGAAGCTGGGGGCCTCTAGCAGTGGGCTAGCCTAGAGCATTCGTGTACCCCGGAGGGAGCCCCGGGACTGCAGTGGGCATTTCAGGCCCTTTGTTTGTCCTCGTGGCCCCACAGAGCACGGTCCCTGTCGCCTTGGTTCTCCACTCCTCAGGGATCCCACACATCACGGGAGGGGAAGCCAGGGCCTCAGGACCGCCTCTCCCCTCTTGGCTGGAAACCCACCCAAAACCCTCCCCACCCACCTACCCCCACCAGCCAGGACACAGGCAGACGCAGGGGGGTGGCGGGGGGGGGGGGTGGCAAGGTCACAAGACCCAGTCTAGACCGGCCAGGCCAAGTTTACTCTCCTCGTTTCACCTTGACCTTGGACTCCGGAGGCAGGGAAGCCAGTTTCCCAGCCAGGAGCGAGCTCCCAGAAAGACCTACGTTCACTTCGGCTCCTCTCTCCTCCTTCTACCGTCATCACCCCTCATGCTAGCCTGCTTGCCTGCTCCTGTAACCTTTCTGTTGTATTTTCTGCCTACTGCCAGCCCAGCCTGAAACCTGATTTCCGAAATATAAGGATGTTGATCACACTGATGAAGATTAGTTTCTTATCCTAACTCACCCTTGCCAGGACCTCTCCATGCTCTCCATCTTCAAACACCACCTTCCCCTATAGGAAGAAGGGAGACTGCGTGGCTGGGTCTCAGAATAGACCTGGCCATTTGCTCTTGGGGCTGGCGGGGTCCAGTGGGTCTGGCTTAGCCTGAGGTTACTGTGAGCTGCCTGGACAGGAGTACCCAGCATGTAAACGCTGCAGCAGGGGCAGAAAAGAGGGAGATGCTGCAGCCCCTCTCCCCTCTTTCCCCCTCTCTCTTTATGACCTCTTCTCCTCAGGGAGGCCCTGTGCAGAAAGGGAACTTGGCTCAATTCCACCGAGATGTGCCCTGGAAAGGGTTGCCTCTGTTAAGGCATCAACTTGGGCATAGGAAGGCCCATAAGTAAGTCGGGAGATTGGGAGGGAAGAAGGGGGGGGGCTTTACCGTAAGTTGGTGTTAATTTGTCCTTTGAAATATGGGACAATTTTAAAGCATGAAAACAATTCACACTATAAAGGAGCTAAAACTGCACTGATCCCGGCTCTGCCCGGCCCACTGGCCCACACCAGCCTAACGGCCCAGGGCCGGCCGGGGCTGAGGTCGGTCCTCCTGGGGCCTCCCATCTCTTCCTCATTTCAAGTTTCCTTTTGTACACAGATATGAGAGCAGGGGTGCTCTTATTCACATCCAGCGCTTTTTTAGCTTTCCTAGACCTAATCCTCGCCCCACTCCGCCCCCCTTTCTTTGAAAAATCTCACTCCGAGGCTTTTTATTTCTATTGTATATTGAAATACCAGCCTATTCTATTGCCCCAATTTCCCATTTCCCTCCTTTTATTCTCCATGTTTCACTGAGAGCATCTCTACTCCGCATGGTGATCTGTGCGCGGGGGCGGGAGGGGAGCCATCGCATCCTTCCAGCACTGTTGGTTCCGCTGGAGAAAGACTTGCAGACCAGAGTCCCTTTCAGAAAACTGGGGCTTTAGGTTAAGTGGCTGGAAGTAGGAAATGGAAACGCCATCCCGTCATGAAAGTCTCTCTTCCTGCCCGGCTTCGGGACCTAGTGAGCTTCAGGGGAGTCGACCTGGCCCCAGCCGGGCTCCCCACGCCCTGCCCCCGCGCGCTGACGCCTGCTTTCTAGTTTCTTCACTTATTAAGAAAAAGACCCAGTTTCTCCCTCACCCTAAGCTCCAAGTCCCAATCCACTCACAGCGATCTTTTGGGGGGTGGGATTTGTCTCCCGCATAGACATCCTAAGCCTAGGGGGAGACGCCCAGGAATAGTCCTCGCCTCTCCAGACCCCTTTGCATCGGCCAAATTCAGCCTCCCCGCCCCCCTCCTCATTCTCCCTCCCCGGGGCCTGCCAGGGGGCGTTGCCCTGTCCCTTTAAATCTCCCAGCGCCCACCTCTTTGCCCCTCCTGACAGCCAATCAGCACAGAGCTTTTCCACTTTGCCCCGCCCCACCTGGAGGGGTGGGAACTCCAGGAGACCGGGCCCGGCTCGCTCCGCGCTGGCCGAGTCACGTGGGCGCGGGAGGGGTGTGGAGGGGAAGCGGGCGGCCGCCGGCGGATTTCTTAATGAAGTGTCCCCGCATGCGTAGAAGGAATCTGGGGGAGGGAGGTGGCAACACCAGGAGGAGGGGAGGGTGGGGAGGGACAGGAGGAGGGATGGGGGAGGGGAAAAGAGAGCGAGGTGTCTCCCCAGCTCGCTGCCTCTGGCAAGTGGAGTTTTTAAAAAGCTCGCGCAGATCATGTCATGACGACTTCGCTGCTCCTGCATCCGCGCTGGCCAGAGAGCCTTATGTACGTCTATGAGGACAGCGCGGCGGAGAGCGGCGGCGGCGGCGGGGGAGGCGGCAGCGCGGGCGGAGCGGGGGGCGGCTGCAGCGGAGCGAGCCCCGGCAAAGCCCCGAGCATGGACGGGCTGGGCAGCAGCTGCCCGGCCAGCCACTGCCGCGACCTGCTTCCCCACCCCGTGCTGGGCCGCCCACCGGCTCCCCTGGGTGCCCCTCAGGGCGCCGTCTACACGGACATCCCGGCCCCGGAGGCGGCGCGCCAGTGCGCCCCGCCGCCCGCGCCCCCCACCTCGTCCAGCGCCACCCTGGGCTACGGCTACCCGTTTGGTGGCAGCTACTACGGCTGCCGCCTGTCGCACAACGTGAACCTGCAGCAAAAGCCTTGCTCCTACCACCCGGGCGATAAGTACCCGGAGCCGTCGGGCGCCCTGCCCGGCGACGACCTGTCCAGAGCCAAGGAGTTCGCCTTCTATCCCAGCTTCGCCAGCTCCTACCAGGCGATGCCCGGCTACCTGGACGTGTCGGTGGTGCCTGGGATCAGCGGGCACCCGGAGCCGCGTCACGATGCGCTCATCCCTGTCGAAGGCTACCAGCACTGGGCTCTCTCCAACGGCTGGGACAGTCAGGTGTACTGCTCCAAAGAGCAGTCGCAGTCCGCCCACCTCTGGAAGTCTCCCTTTCCAGGTAAGGATGGGGCCCGAGTGCCGCGGCCGCCGCCAGGGACCCTCCCCGCCCCGCCTGCCCCCGGGCTCCGCGCCCCAGCCACCCCCGCCGTCTGGTCCCGGCGCGCCGGCTTTGCTGGGCTGCCGATGGAGCTGGCCCGGCGAGCTGCGCTGAGGAATGCTCCGGGGAAGAAATCTGCTCCGACACGTTCCCCGAAGCTGCCTGGCTGAGAGTGAAGCAATCACAGGCGCCCGAGCGCCGGGCCGCCGGCTGCGCTCGAGTCGGTAGCTCGCCGCCTCCTCCCCCAGCCGGCTCCAGTCTCGCGCGTGGCTCTGTGCGGGCGAAGCCCGCTTCCGGCTAGGAATGGGGGTGGGGAGGGCCTAGAGTACCTTGGAATCCACAGTCACCAGCCCCAAACCCACAACCCACCGAATAACTGGGGGGGAAAATAAGAACCCCCATTTTCTTTGCCAGAATTTCCAAGATCGTTCAGGCACTAGACAGTTGTGTGTGTGTGCATGGACCGGCTCCCGGCATGTGTGTGTGTGTGTGTGTGTGTGTGTGTGTGTGTGTGTTTTCAATAGGAGTCCGATTTGCCACGGTCTACGGAAATGTAGGATACTACCTTTTTCTTTTCTTTTTTTATGTATTAAAAAAATTTGGCCATGAATTTCCCAATTGTTAAAGGAGCAGAGCTAAAATCTCTCTTGAGAGGGTGTAGAGAAAGAAGTTTGAAGCCCTCTCCTGAGATATAAATTTTATTTTTCTCTCTGGTATACTGAGTTCAAATAATGTGGGTGTTTCCACTGCTAACTCCCCCAAGTGTGGGGAGAGAGAGTTAGCCATGCCTCAAACACAGAAAGAAGGTGGTAAGGATGAGAGATGTAGGGGAGGAAGACCTGTTCTGAAGGGACCTGGGGTCCAGGCCCAGGCTGAGAGCCCCTCAGTTTTGTCTGGCTATGTGTGGGGTATGGGGCGTGGAATTCACCATTGCCCTATTCCTCTTTAAATGAGGCTTTCCCTAAACAGGAGGGGATCTTGCAACCCACCCAAGGGTTTCTAAAAACCATATGGGAGCTTTGAATTCAGCACCGCACGGAGAAATCAGGATTTGGGATCTAACAAATCCAGAGCTTCAGTCTGCTCTGCCTGTAAGTAGAGCTCAGGGAGAGAGGGCCGACTGGCTCCCTTCCAACGTCCACAGGGGCCCAGTGGGGCCCAAAGCAGCCACACATGTCTCCCCATATTGCCCAGAGGTCCCCCAGCTCTGCATATGGGCTTAGGGACATTTTCATTGGAAAATATAGACTGAAGACCTCTTAAGAGTGGGCCCGAAATTCCTCTGCATCCGGGACTGGGGAAAGGGCATATGGTGAGAATATCACTGAATTATGTTAGAAAGTGTAGCAAATAACATTCTTGTAAATATTCTGAGACTACTCAATATAACATACAACTGAATACCCCGGTGGAACCCACCCTAGGCACCCCATTTCTGGTTGCAAGAAGATTTAAGGATGATAGAATTTTAGTACATGGTATTATGCATTACATATTTGGCATTGGCGATAATATTTTTATATAATAAAATTTCTATTATTAACCACCTAATATGAAATATACACTAATATATTTCTAGAATACAGGCAATTCACATGTAGAGAGATGGCCCTTTAATCCCCCAATTCTCCCAAATGGAAAGGTCCTTAGGAATTGGGTATCTAGCAGGAATTCTTGGAGCAGGTGGAGCCAGTAGGCCATTCTAAAGGGCCAAAAGACAGGGGAGCATATACCCACCAGGCCCTCTCTGGGCAGAAGTGCAGGTCTGGAGCAATGGGCGATGGGTTTAATGTGAAGAAGTGAAGAGGAGCTTCTCTGGCATCCTTATGTATTCCAGAGAGTGGAGTAGGGGTGAAGGATTGAAGAGAAGCTCAGAAATATCTTTGAATAAAATATACATTTTAAAGATTCCCAGGGGGGAAAAACACACTAGAAATAAACACTTTGTGATCACAGCCTCCTAGAGAAAAATAGCTTTGAAATAAAAAATATATAGCCCAACTGAGATGTAATACATTTGCAAATTATGGCATGCAAATTACAGCATGGAAATGGATATAAAACCCAGTGTGTCTCAGCAGCTATGTGCTCAAACACTCCCTGTGTGGAAATAGAATCAGGCTGGTGTATCACAGTGAGTGCAGAGGTCCAGGCAATAGGCAGATGAAAAAGAAATGATCTTCAGACACCCTCCATCTTTCTGCCCACACAGAGATCTTTTAGAAGCAGTGAGATTTCCAGATAACTCTGTCTATGCAATTGTGGTTTGTTCCGCAGCATCTAGGCATAAACACTACTGTCTCTCTTCAGTGCCTCTGGCTCTGAGAAACCTCATCTATGGCAGCCTGGGCTGCTGTGGGAGATGGAGCAATTGTTCAGAAAGATCCAAATAATTAGGGCCAAGATGTGTTGTGGCTTTTTCCTTCTCCCAATTATACAGACCCTTGCTTCATTGCGCGCTCTCTCTCTCTCTCTCTCTCTCTCTCTCTCTCTCTCTCTCTCTCTCTCCTCTTCCTTCCAATGGTGAGTGTAGACTTTTTTTTTTTTTTTCAGAGAGAGGCAGAAATTTTGAGAGAGAATCAGCAAAGAAAGGATGGGGAGAGACAGAGAGGATTAGGAGAGAGAGAGAATGAGAAAAACATTTAGTGGGTTCTTTGGGCCATGCTGAAGTACCTACTGACAAGCCTTTGGATTTTGGTTGAGAAGAGCAACTAGGATTTCTAGCTGAGAAGGGGTCCTCTGCAGAGCTCTGTCGTGGCAGTAAGTGGGCAAGAGCGAGGGAGCAGTAGGGACCTGTACACAGAGCTCCAAGAGAAAGCTATGGCTGAGCATTGATTTGATTTTTATTTGCTCCTCAAAGGTGTCTATTAGATTCCCAGGTGTGAAGTGGTTTGGGTGCGTGTATGCTCTGGGGGGAGGTAGGGAAGGGTTGATTGTAATATTAATTAGCCAACTCCCCTATTTACGTTAGGCAGTATAGACACTATTCCAGGTCTAAGCTTTAGATGTTCCCACATCTGTGGATCCCACTTCCTTTTCAGACAAGACAACAGACAATGAAGGAGGCTTCTGTGAGAAGGCAAGATAGAAGGTATTTCCCCAGGAGGTCTTAAAAAATCCCCAGCAGTTTGGTCTGACCCATGAAAAACTTGGCCAAATCAATCCTGGTATTCTACAGAGAAAAATAGCCAGCTTAAATCAATTACTTGTTTTTTAAAACTGATTTTTAGGGTTGCATTGATTAAACCTCATTGGAAAATTAGAGTTAGGGTTTGGGGGACCCAAAATTGGGTAGGTAATTGTGAGCATTTACAGAAAGTGAGGGGAAAAACAACAACAACGAGGACAATTATCTGCTTACTTCAGGAATTAAATGCACTTTTATTCCATTTTGCTCTCCAGGGATAAGAAGGCATTTTATTTTATTTTATTTTTTGAAAAGGAGATATTTTAAAGCTGGATTGTATCAGGTGGTTTATTTCCATTTGAGAACTCACTGTGTCATTATGTTGAGTCCAAAAATCTGGGTTTAAAATCTTAAACTTAAGTTATTTTACCCAGTCTAGAGCCTCAAATTCTCATCTTGTAAATGACTTTACTAAAATAATCCTGAAAAAAAAGTTCTGGGGATTAACACAAACAAAAAGAAAACCTCACAATGACCTCATGATATCATTACTTACCTTCTCTGTATTATTCTTGTCCCAGAATCATCAATTTCCTGAATCATAGTTACATCTGTAAGAGTAAAAAACAACTTGAGAACTGAGAGGTTTTTTTAAAAAAAAATTATCTTGTACAAAAAAATCATTTTTAACCTAAAGGATCTTCTCTGTTAAAGTGAAGTTGTTTTGTTTTTCAGATTTTTATAAAACCTTGGCCTATTCATACCTAGGCAGAGACAAGGGACAAATCCAACAATTTTCCTGAGAAATTGTCATCACGAAGACAGCCAAACCAGGCCATTGGAACCCCCCTCTCCCATATTCTTCCTGAGCACTTTTTCTCAGGAGTCATCTCTCTCCATCCTATAGAGATAAGGGTCCCAGTGGGAATGGGTATAGGGAAGGTGTTGTAGGAGGGTGGGGTGAGAACAGCATTTCAGGAAGAACTTTGTGTTTTCACTCCGGACTGTTTCTACACTCTCAAAGGGTAGAGAATGAAGGAGAAACCCCCAATATTCTGTCTTCTTCACGAGCTTCTGTCTGAAGAAGTCTAATAACTATATTTTAAAAATTAAGGGGCCATTTATTTAGACAATCTCCCTAGTTTCCCACTTCCCCTTGAAAGTGTGGCTATGACCTTTTTATTGACAGAGGTGAGGGTGGAGTGGAAGGTGGGTACAAGTGACAAGATTTTTGGTTTTGGTTTCTGTGAAATTTTCAGAGTATAAAGAAACTGAACTACTAGTGGTTAGGGTGACAAGGTATTGAGGATTTAGGGTTAGGATTCCTGCATGGGATGAAGAGAGTTTTCTTCGGCTTTGGAAGAATGGAGAGGGGAGGGGGTTGGAGCAGAGCAGAATTTGCTCTGTTTTGGTGGGTGGACATTTGTGGGGGCTAGGGGACATTGAGTTCTTTCTATAGACTTATGTGAATAGCTGATTTTACCCCCCAAGAAGGGCTCTCCTGGTGCCTTCTCTGGTGGACAGACCCTGAGGCATGGACCCTTTACTTCCAAGGACTGATTCTCTATATCTCAGGACCAGGGCCTCCTACCTTGGATGTTGTTAAGTGGCTCACTAAATTGGACTCCTAGACTGATGGGCTCCCACGCAGGCTGGTGTCGCCTGGATTGTTCTTCTCTCTGTCTAGTGGTGCGGGCATCAGATTCCTAGTGCAGAGCCAGTGAGCAAAGCCGTGGGCAGCCACTTAGTGGTCGGTGCCAACTGCAGCTATCTCCCTGCCCGACATGTCCTTCCTCAAACCTACGACAGAACATCTCTCTCTCATACTGGAGCAGAGGATGAGCTGATGGCTGCCCAAATGATTTCACTGCAGGAAGGCCTGCAGACCAGAGTGAAATTTGAAGGGACCCCTCTAAGGGCACAGAGATTCTAGTGACACAGAGATTCTAGTGACACAGATTGCTGTGCCAAGCCATAATGAAGCCCAAGACAAAAGGAAAATCGGTAATACTGTCCCAGTGTTTATTTTAAAAAATTGATACTTTGTTCATCATGGATATTTTGCATTCATTTTTATTTTTTAAAGCATTGTATTCAAGTATTATTTATCTTGATGACTGAGTATTTTGTGCCCCCTCCTTTAAAGTTTGAACCAGAGAAAAATACCACAGTGGCCTCACCTCAGTCGTGGCCTTGCTACTAGAGAGCAAAAGATCTGGGGGCAATCCGCTGGCCCGCTTTGAGTCCCTGCCAGAACTTTGCGCCCAGTCTGCGGTGCGGTGTCGATGCCCGCAGCCCAGTCCAGGGTCCAGCCACACGACTCACTAGCTGCCCGCCTGCCTTCTCTCCCCCCTTAGACGTGGTTCCCCTACAGCCTGAGGTGAGCAGCTACCGGCGCGGGCGCAAGAAGCGAGTGCCCTACACCAAGGTGCAGCTGAAGGAGTTGGAGAAGGAATACGCGGCCAGCAAGTTCATCACCAAAGAGAAGCGCCGGCGCATCTCTGCCACCACGAACCTCTCCGAGCGCCAGGTCACCATCTGGTTCCAGAACCGTCGAGTCAAAGAGAAGAAGGTGGTCAGCAAATCGAAAGCGCCTCATCTCCACTCCACCTGACCGCCCACCCGGCCACCTTCCCCCTCTATTTATGTCGCCGCTTTGTACCATAACCAAACTCACCGAAGGACCCTTCGCCGGTGCAGACGAATATTTAATGTTAACAAGAAAGAGGAACCGTTGCTGGGAGGCAGAGAGTATCCAAGGGCGGGGCGCCCTGCCGTCCCCCTACTCCCCACCCCATCCTCAACCCCCACCCCCATCTAGATGGGATCTACTGGGCCTCAACAGCTTTGGAGGTGGGTCCCTGGCGGGCTGTGGGAGCAAAGCTGCCGGTCCCCATCTTCCCCCCCCCTCGCCCCCCCATCTCCTTGTAAGAAAGCCAAGTGGCAGCGAAGAGCAAGAAGAGCCCAATGATTGCAAACAAAGCAGGGTTGGAGAACCCCAATGACCCATTCTTGCCTCCTCTGCCCAGCAGGTAGGGGATCCTCCTGAGGTATCTCAACCTCAGTGCAGGACCTGGTGAGCTTAAAATTTCCTTCCGGTCCCCCCCTGCTCCCTGTCCCTACTGCACTCCTTAGTTAGGCAAGAATTCCCAATTAGGATTTTTCTGTGCATATTTTAAAAGTCGTGTTAATATTAATGATTATTATTAGGGGTCAGGCACCGTGATTGGAGTACAGGCAGCACATAGGTTTTCTTTCTTTCTGTTTCAACACAAGCTGGAATTGGCCTAAGAGCCACCTACCCCCCTCAACCAGGAAACTGAATTTCTCAGGAGCCGCCTTTGCCTCCACTGCCTCCTCTGTTCTGCTCTCCCAGTCATCACACAGGAATCCAAGGTCAGAACTCAACCAGCCTTCTAAATATTTTTCCCTCCTCCTCCTCCTCCTCCTCCTCCTCCTCCTCCTCCTCCTCCTTCTTCTTCTTCTTCTTCTTCTTTCCTCTCTCTCTCTCTCTCTCTCTCTCTCTCTCTCTCTCTCTCTCTCTCTCCAGGCCATAAAGAAGTAGAATCTTTTTTTCTTAAAGAAAATAAATAAATAAAGAACCACAGGATGGAGATTGGGGCCCCCCAGCAGAATCCCTCTCCAGTCACTTCTCCATGATGGCAATAGCTGAGAACAGAGGCCTCATACTTTCACTTTTACTGATTGTCCAGAGGAAAGCAGTTTTCTTCCAGGAAGCCAAAATAAGGGCCCCCACAAAGCCAGCTAATGTAGACGCTGCCTAACAGTTCTCTCTTCAAGGCCAACTTGGTGCTAGGGGGCCCCTCACCTTCTCCCACTGACGCATTACAAAACAGTGTTCTTTTGCAATGTTCATCAGAAATAGGCTTTTTAAAAATGTTGTGTATCTGTATATAGTATTGTGATGTCTGAATGACAATGTATTGAATTGAATGCAAAAAGAAAAACCCACAAACCTGTTTTTAAAATAAAATCTTTTTTTGGGCCTTGATTTTATTGCTCAAAGTCTTTTGAAGCCTCTCTTTCCAGTGGCTCTTCAGAGAAGTTTCTGATGCCCTGACTCAGCCAGAATGGGCACTGGAAGAGCACAGCCATCACCCCAGCTGGGAAGATCCCTGACTCATATTTTGCTCCAGTTTCTTTTTTTAACTTTGGGTGGTTGAAACTATCTAGACAGGAGAAAAGTTTTTTCCATCCTGATGGAGAGAAGGATGTCATCAGCAACTGAAAAGGCCTGGGAGCAGGTGAGTGAGAAAAACACTTGCTATTTCAGTTAGTAGTTGGGGCTCAGATCTGGATTTGGGTGCTGGAGCTGAATGCTGTAGTGACAGCAGTGGAAAGCTAACTGGAGGCCCTACTGTCTGTAGAGGGTCCCAAATTCCTACAGCCAGTTCAGGGCTGAGGCTAGGGAGACGTCCGCACCGCCACCCCTGCCCTGCTCGGTGTTCCCAGGCTGCACTCTTTCTTTCCCCAATGACCTATGTAGAGAGGTCAGGCTGCTAGGGTCCCTGGAGCCCCCAGTTCACTAAAGCAACCCCACTTTTATTCTCCAGCATTCCTGGAAACCTCGGTCTTTCAAGCAATCTGGAGCCCCATAGGCCCTGCCACTAATTTGTTTTTTTCTGTCGAGTCAGTCCATGCCTATCTCCCTATCTGGCAGAGTTAATGAGATTGTTAAATTGTCAGGTTAGGAGACTTTTAAAAAGCAACATCGCCTAAAACAATGTTATCTTGGATTAAATCTTTACTGCGGCAATTTTTATATATAATATTCTTCCTCTCCTGAGACACAGAAAGACTGGAGGCATTGAATTGGAAATTAGCATTCTCTGGTCTCCCTTTACCTGATGGCTGAAGTTTTAAATATTTTATTGAAATAAATAAATGTTTCTGAGGATGAAACACACACATGCACACACAGGGAGTCTGAGAGACAAAGAGCCTGGAGAATTCACCATCTCTGGAGGCTTTGCTACTGATATGGCACCAGTCCCGTTCAACTGCATTTTAACTCTGGGTTAACTATCAAAGAATCATGTGCTGGGAAGTAGAGATTTAGGAGGTGTAAGTGAATCTCCCAGGAATAAGGTTCATTTTTAATTCTATCTCCCCTTTCTCTTCCTATCCACCACCCTAACCTTTCCCCAAAACCAGAGTCTCCCTTGAGATGAAAAGAGTTGAAGATTAAATGTATGCTTGATCAGAAAAAGAAACTGAATAGATAAGAGGTCTGGGGCTCTCTTGATATGGTCCCCACCTCTCTCTGAAGATGCATTGGGCAGTCCCACAACACGCAATGTACACACAGTGGAAGTTGGAGACTGGGGCGGGGGGAAGAAGTCTAGAGTTCTCTGAGGGGCCCTCCGCTTCTGCACACAAACCCATACATAATCAAATGAGTGAATCTTTCCACACACAGAGGGACCGGCACTAAAGCCCCAGAAGAGGGCAATGAAAAAGAGGAGAGCCTGGTCAGCATGGCTCAGTGGTTGAGCCTTGACATATGAACCAGGAGATCATGAACCAGGAGGTCATGAACCAGGAGGTCATGGTTCGATCCCCACCCCACCCCCACTCCATGGCACATGCCTTGGGTTGCCAGCCCTAGCCCCAGTGTGGGGTGTGCAGAGGGCAGCCTATCAATGATTCTCTCATCATTGATGTTTCTATCTCTCTCTCTCCCTGTCCCTCTCTGAAATCAATAAAAAAATTTTTAAAAAGAGAAGGAGAAAGCCTGTGGAAGCTCACTGGGGTTGCACTGGGACCCTGGTAACCCAGGCAAAGACTGAAGTCTCTTTGAGTCCTTGTGAGTCCCAATGTGTTTAAGACCCTCTCAAGCCCTGGATTAAATGTGTCTGAATGGATTTTGGGGAATTGTCATGCCTGGATCAATTTTAAGATGCCTCTCCCATAAAAGTAAGTGAGCATGAGAATGGGAACTCCCATGTGAGACAGGTATTGTGTGACTGTGTGTTCTGGGGTGGCAACGTTGTGAAAATGTATTATTCTTTTCCTGATCATGTTGGTCCCTTACCTTTCTGTCCTCCAAGAATTGGCATTCTCACTGGGGACTCTGTGAGACATTCCTGTCAAGTTGTGTGTGTGTGTGTGTGTGTGTGTGTGTGTGTGTGTGTGTGTTTAGAGCCTTTGACCAGTGGAGAATTTCCTCAGCCTTTACTGCCTGTGTGTGCAACTATGTAGGTAGGAGTGTCGCCAGCCGGCACTTTTCTCAGTGTATAGAATTGTTTTCTCTTCTTTATTCAAATCTATAAAAAGGCTTTCTTTCTAAGGCCAGCCTCCTAATGTTGGTGTGAGAGTCAGGCTGCAATAAATATGAGAGTGCAAGGGAATAGCAGGGCTGTGAGCACAGAGGCTTCTCCTGGAGACAGCCCTCCCCTCTGGGATGGAAGCCCCTGCTGTCTTTCTCACAGTCTGAGGTGGCATTCTCCACCCGTCATGCCCCACCAGGTCAGGACCGGGGATCCTGGATGGGGGTGGGCTGGAGCCTCACAGGACTCTCCATCTGGGGGCCACTCTCCCAGGCTGCCAGGGAGGGCTCAGTTACATCCTTTCCATGTCCTTCCCCACCAACATCTTCATCCCCAGGCCCCGGGCCAGCAGACGGGGCCTTTCAGCCGCAGTCCCACAGCCAAGAACCCACCTGAGGGAGCAAGGCCAGCAGTTCTCGGGAGATTCCTCCACTGCTGTCTCTAGACCATCTGCTCCTGCGGCTGATCCACAGACAGCTGGGTCAGCAGTGAGGGAGTACAGCAGGGACAGCCCTCTGACATTCTCCATGGCTCAGGGGATTGGAGCTGGGGACGCGGCGACAGCCCCTCTGTTCAAAAGAGAACTCCCCGCGCTAGGATCCACCAGGGTGTGACTCAGGTGGCCTGGGTAAGGACGGTGCTGATCCCAGGCTGCTGGCCTGAGCCCACCCCTCAAAAACCTCCAACTGCTGGATCAGATGTGTATCCAGACCTGCGTTGGGGGAGGGTGGAGGGGCCCTGGGAAGCGAGGAGCTCCTGGGAGGAGGAGGGGGCCAGAGCCTTTCGCAACCAACCAGGCTCTTCCTCTTTTAGCCTTGACCGTGACTAGGTCTTTCTGACCTTGACATCGCAAGGAGTACATGGGAGGGGGGAGGGGGGAAAAGGCCTTGATCTTCCGGTGGCCAGAGAAGGGGAGGGCCGCGAGCCCCCTCGACGCGCCATCCCCCCTTCCCGCCAGAGCCCGCCGCCTCTGTTTACACACAGAGGAGGTGTCGTCTTCAGTCTAGACAGGGGCGCTAATAACGACCATAAAAGGCGGCCTCCCCAGAGATGCTCGCAGCTCAGCTCCCGCGCGCCGACCGCCGGCGGCTCCCTCCCCTCCTCCGCCCCGCCCTCCTCAGATACCTCGGCTTGGCCTGCGGCGGGTCTTGGGGAAGGGGGAGAGGGTGTCTAGAGGCTGAGAGCCCCCGCCCCGCATCCTTCCGAACCTCTTCCGTCTCCAAAGGTAAGTGGACCCCGCTCTTCCGGCCCAGACATCCTCGGGGTGAACAGCACGTCCTCCCCACCACCACCACCACCAGCCTCCTGGGCCCGTGGCCCCTACTCCGACCCGCCCGCGCGCCCCACCCCGCACTGGGGGCTTGACTCCGGGGGAGCGTTTGGGTAGCTGGCAGAACAGACCCCAGGCAGATCTCAGCCGCTGCCCAGAGCTAGGCCTGGACGGAGGCCGCGGTCACAACCAGCCGCCGGCTGTGGGGCAGGGGGGTCCGGGGGTCGTCCTCACCCCACCTGGAGCCCCAGGTCTGCGGAGACCAGGCCCCCTTCCAGGCGGCTGTGGGTGTGGCGTTTGATGAGGGTGTGCTGTTGTGTGTTTTTTAACTTGGCCCCACACCTTTCTTGACACTCAGTAATTCACTAGGCGGAGGAGATCCTCTGCTGGTGGAGGTGGAAAATGTCAGAGCCACGCAACTATTTAACTATTAGCGCGCCGGAAAGACAGAAAATGGGGAAAGATGGCCCATTTGGGGATGCTCAGGTGAGAGGTGGAGAGATGGCTTCCCAGAGGTTCCCCCCAGGACTCCTCACCCCTTCCCCGTCTCCTGAGTGGCAACCGGGCTGGGGTCTTGCGGCGGGAGGCAGCTCAGAAGGAGCTGCGGGACGAAGGACATGAGGACGCTGCTGATCCCAGGCTGCTGGCTCGAGCCTAAAAACCTGACTGGGCCCCCTCACCCAAGGCTTCTCTAACGCCCCCACCTCCAGGCTGTAGGTCCTTAGAAGGCAATACCTGGAGAAGGGGCCTCCCAGATTTCTTTTGTAAGTCCCAGAGGAAGACCTGGGAACCAAGTGGGCTCCGACCTCTGGAGGAGCTCCCTTCCTTTACCTCTGTCTGGTCTGAATCCGACGAAGGCCCTGTTGCAAGCCCAACTGCCCTAAAGGGGTGAAACAGAGAGGCCTGAGGGTGGGGGCCCAAGCCGTCCACATTCGCCGCTTTTCATCTCCCCTCTCCCTGCCTGCTCAGCCCCTACTCAGATCTCCTTCAGGGCCCAAGCGCTGCCTCATTTGCATATGCGGCGGAGCCGCTCTCCGCAAACTAGACAGTGACCTTGAACCGGGCCACCGCGGCCTCTCCACTGACGGGGAGAAGACGGCACCGCCGCGCTGCATCATTCCGACCCCGGGAAGCCCGAACGCGGCCGCTCACAGCTGCTCCGCGGTGGCCTGCGCAGCCGCCTTGACCCCGCCACCAGAACCGGCGTAGATTTTATAATCAGCTCCTCTCGCCTGGCTCAGCGGTGGCAGCGACTCGAGGCCCCGCGAGAAGGCCTCGAAGATGCGGGAGGGATGGAGGCTCAGGCAGAGAAGGCGCGGGAGAGGAGGCAGGGCCTCCAGCTGGTGGATGCGCGGAAGCACGAGGGCTGCCACGGGTCTTTACGGAAAACCTTGGACCACATCCGGGCCTTCAGTTTTCATTAGCCCCTGAGTTAATGA